CACAGAAACTTATTTAGGAACAATATCAACTGTTTCATTTGATCTGAAGGCAAATTTTCTCTTTATGTTTCAGACTCTTTAAAACTGACCTGAAGAAAAAAAGGCCAGTTCTTAAACAGATCGTGCCATTAGCAAACAACGACTGTCCATATAAAATGCTGAAATTATTCATTTAAAGTGTTTCTCTAGCCTTTCCCTCTCCTTTTTTTTTTCTTCACTTCAAAAAAAAAATTGCAAAAGTCAGCTCACTTCTACAAACAGTTTCAAGTCTTCATGAAACTATATTTTGGGGGGCAAAAAATATACCACTTGTCCAAAACATTTCATCTCCAAACTGCTCTCGGTGCCATATGGACTCTGCCACCATTTACAGTGAATTTGGCTTTCCAGTTTTGTTAGGGCTGGCCTCCTTTCCATCCAGCAAATTGTTTTGCTAACCCCCCACAGAAGCAAGAAAGTAAAGATTGTGTTGACTTCTAAAATGTCGTACTTCTCACTAAAAGAAGAAAGAATTAGAATTGGTGTGTGCCTTCTTTCTCCCATCCACACAAACTCTGGAAGACCCTACAATCAAGCTAGAAAGATATTCTAGTGATGACAGACCAGAACATTTCAGCTAATTAATGGCTTTAATTTACAGAAGGGTGACACTGTCACAGCTTACCAATCAAAAGCAACACAAATGCCAAGGGTGGGCCTTCATGGGTCATGCAACAAAGCCTTTAGAGAAGTCAGGATATTTCAAGTGCCTCGTCATGGCATTTCTGTGATACCTCGGTGGAGAGCTGCCCAGACTAAGAAACACATCCCTTTCGGTGCCAGTATGGGGTTTCATCTCCGGAAGGTGAGGCTGACAAATTGGAACTAATCTAAGACAGTGTGGTACAGTCATCTCGCCTGCAGGGACACATTTCAGCATTCAGCTGCAGAATGCCAGCTTAAGAACAAGCTCTCGATAAAGGAAAGTTCAGGCCAAGCCTGGGGATGCACGACTTTTAAATCAAGAACAGGTTTTTTTTTCCTAGCCTAACCCCACCTCCCCGGGGACGGTAATAGATTCAGAAGATGATAATGCTATAGCACAAGCTGAGAGAAAAGTCAAGAAATCTCCCTTTGCAGCAGTAGTTTTCCTTTACTTCCTAAAACTGTTTCACAGTTTAATCCATCAGAGGAATGGAGAAATTCAAAAATATACTTATTTTTTGCCATGTTCTTTTGTGAAGCAAAAAAAATAAAATAAATCAAGTCATGCCACATCCCCATCAAAAAGAGTCTTTCAATTTGGATGAGAGCTGAGGACAAATTACCAGCCAGAACAGAGGGCCAATCTGGTAAAGAACCACAGTTTCAGCTAGGACAACCTACGGCTTACTCCTATGCAATTTAATTAACTAGCCCATGTAGCATAACTTTTTTTACCCATTGTCTGTAAAGCCAGTTACACTTAGAAGTACAGCAATACCAGGCTTTAAAGAACTTCAAGTAAGAGATCAAGCCTGTCTTCCTCTTTTGGGAGAGACCCTACATCCTTGGACATAATAAACAGCAGGTCCTGATCATTATTCTGTATGTTAGAAAGAGCTGGGTAGAGTGTGGCAAGAAAAGGACTGTGGAGCTTTTTTCACTGAAGAAAGAGTGTAGTTCAGTAGTTATATTCACAGAAGGGTATGGTGCTAGCAAACCAGCAAACAACAGCTAGTGCTGCAAGCAGGAACAATCCCAATTAGGCATTCGGCACTTTGGCTTGCAGGTGAATTTACACTCTGAGGGCTCTGCTTCTCTGCACCTAACATTTCAGACAACTCCAGCCAGCTCTGATCTATTGTAGCATAGTTTCCCCATGAATTTCCATTTCTTCGCTCTTTTTAGAGAAAAAAGATGGATGAAAGCAAAAATTAAATGTTCTGATTTCTAAACAGTCAGAAATTTCACTGCAAATGAAGTCTAGTAGAGATGATTTCACCAGCTCTCTTGGTTTGTGTACATAAGCAATAGATATAGAAAGATCCATATTAGTTCATTTTCTATTAGAAGATTTATGCTCTAAATCACAAACAAATCACAACTTCTATCTATTTTTTCCCCCAAAAAACTGTGTAGACTTCCCAAACATTCTAAATTAGAGAGGAGGCTTAACCAGTCTTTTAGCCTCATAAGGCACGTTGCCTTTTTATTCCGAACTCTATGCATCTACAAACACACTTCTCAAACACTTGCATATACTTGAATACATCAGTAAAGTTTAGCACCTTGTTTCCATACATCCTGTTATACAGAAAATTGATATTCATTTCCATGACCCACCATTTTAGACCCACCTCAATGTATGTGCAACAAATAAACAACCTTCCTCACAGATGTTCCTGTGCCTTGAGCACTCATGCTTTATAGCTGTGATATTAAACTCACTTGTTGCTGGTTATGAACATTTCACCACAAGAAAGTCTCTGTAGAATCACAACCCATTTGGCCTGTTCTCTTGAGAACGAGCAACAATTTATCGATAATAAACAATTATTGGTATTATTGTTGCAGTTTTAGCTTAAACTCCTAGACCTCAGTTCACAAGCACTCAAAACAAAGGAAAACAGGTTTCAGAGAAGAGCACAGGACCCACACAATCCACAAGAGTCCTGCATCTCCAAAAGGCACAATGAAGAAAATTCCACCAGCCAACTGTTACCATATTGTCCTGTGTAAATGAGTGATTAGTTTCTGTCCAGAGAACACAAGAACTAGCATATCCCATCCCTTCTACAAGAACTGCTGACACATTCAGGCTTTTAATGGTGCTCACTACGCCTGGGATTTCAGAGGACAGCCAAGTGCATCCAACAGTACACTTTGCCAATTGTACAAAGCTGTGTGCTGGTGGGGTAAAAGAAACTCTCTCACACTGGCGGGAGATCAATTTACAAACTCAAGCATGAGGTTTAATTACCCATTTCATTATCTTAGCTTGCATAGCTCTGAATGTGCACCTTCAATGAACCAAAGAAACAGTCAGTAGCTGCTGCTTTGAGAAAGAGGGAGATAACAGGAAGTAGAAGTTCAAATGACTAAAGCTGCTCTCGCTGCCTATGGCACCACAAACCTTGTTTGCAAAACAAGGAGGATTGTCCCCAGATGATACACCTGTGTTATACCATGCTGCACTGAGGAAATCTTAAAGTCCTATTTATGTGCTAATCCGAAAAAAGACCAAAAGAGATGAAACAGTCTTATCTAACCAATCACATAGAAGCCACGGAGCTAAAATTTCAAATACTAGCAATTGATCCTTAGAGACTTTTTTAAAAAATTCATCCAGCAAATTCAGGCAAGTAAATTGTGATGTGCTTGTGGATTTTGTATGAGCAGGAAATAAAGTGTTTGCTGTAAATTATTCACTCAGCACTAGTTAACTACAATGCCGGCACATTACTAGGCTTTTTAATATTCTTCTCAAGATAATAGGTAGCATTTTGCTTATTATCCTGTTTTTAAGTTATTAGTTACATTAGGCTTTTTGTAAACAAAGTGAAGAATTGCAAGAAAATCAAATGCTTTTCCAACTACCTCATTAAAAGTCCTTTTAGTTCAGAAGGGTTGAAATTTCTGCATCTCATAAAAGGCTGAAACAATAGCATATCATCAGCAATTCCAGCTGAATTCACATGCCTTTTTATAATACTTGGGTTCCCAGATGGCTTTTCAGGTTATGAGCCATATACGTGTCTAAAGCTACATGCCTCCGAAAAGGTATAAATAACAATGCAGGAGAAAAACCTACAGGGCAGGAGAATTTATGGTATGAAAAGAAAGCTACTTAATTGCAAGTGGAGTTTCCTCAGTGCAAGGCACCTGCACCACAGCAATGTAGTGTGACATGGTACAGCCATTTAAGGGCTTTATTCCCATAAACTGACATAGAATTTATGATAAATTTGAGATGCCACTACAGTGATATTGCTCTGCTTTTGGATTACTTGAGTTGAGGGAGTATCAGTGTAGCTGGAGGGAGACCCTGTATCCTTGGAAGTTTCACATATAAAACATGTACATAAACAATGTGAAATTACCCAGGTAATTCTCTACTACTTCAGTTTAGTAAGAAGCAAAACATAGGAGGGCTAAGAACCACATATCAAAACAAAGAACAGAACCAGCTACACCAAACTGCATCTTCTAACTTCTTCCTCAGTGGTCTCCCCTTCCACACAATAATCCAGTTTTATTCTGCTTAGCAATGCAATACCTAATTAGATCAAAGCTCAAAGTAGCCTGGCTTCAGCGTACTGTGTTTAGTCTTGCACTGTAAGCAAAACCACGTACAGTATATTACAGTTCTCTGAAGAAGCCCCTGAGAAATATGTGGTAGATGTAATTGCCCCCACAAACAAATCATCAGCTAATCAACTGCTTTTCATTATCACCTCCAGCAGCACATCTATTTTGTAAATAAACACATTAAGAGCAAACAATTTCAGGGAAAACAAAAGATTATCTGAATACATTCTCAACAGCGGAGGAGGTAAAGCAGTAATTCAAATACTAAAAGGAAGCAAAATTAGCATAGGGTGGATGATTATTCCATTCCATGTATCACTATCTATTACAGTACAATAATAGTTTGAAATCTGTGACTTTATAATAGATGATCTGGGTAGTTGAAGGAAACTGTGATTGACTGACACATTTACATAGAGGCTGATGAGCAGCATAATGAATGCATTCATAAAACACAGCTAAGGTCTAACTCTAAGCTGACTTTAGCTCCCATATCTACAGGTGGGTTGCAGAGCAAATATCCTGCTGCCTTGGAGAGTTGCCCTCTACCTCCTGAAGCAAGTAAATTTGCCATTGAGTCCCCTTATTCGATGGGAACTTCAGAAAGCTTAGAGTCATGTGAAAACTTCCACTTTAAGAGAAATGAAATGAAACTAGTCATACAGTGACAAAACAGGACAGGGTATATAAGGTAGATATAAAAATATGCAAACTCATAGTCCACACCATACCTGTAATTTCCTAGGTATACTCCATCAGGATTGAGCATAGGTGCAATCTTGAATACCAGGTGGTCTCTCAGTACTTTTGCAATAGGATGCTGGCTCACAAGGAAATCAATTATACCTGAGAAAAAGAAAATGTGAATTTGAAGAGGGAGGTTTACAGTATCAACAGTTTCCAGGTATTTATATGAAAATTCACACAAACAATTAAAACAATCATCCCTCTTGATTCCTGGCAACACCCCTTCTTCCAGCAGAACCACTTGCAATAATTTGGACCTTTTCACCTTCTAAAATACTCCAGAAATAAAAACCTTAAGGATAAATAACTTTAGTCCCTCCTGATAACACAAGTACAGTATAGACAAAATATCAAACACAGCCAAGCTTCCACTGAGGGACAAGTCACTGCTCATCAGTTGAGCCACAATAACAAAATATTCCTCCTTGTGAGTGGTGAAACGGTGATGTAAAATTTACTTCTAACACCTCCCATAGCCAGCACATCTGTGGGCTCATACTTAGTTCACTAGTGGCAATTTGTTGAGCTGAGGGACCTCAAATTTTTTTGAGCATGCGTCTAGACCTACCCTTGATACGTAAACACAGGGATCGGGTCATCTGAATGTGTAGGAGTTATAAGATGTCCCGCTATTTCTGGGAGAGTTACATAAACTCTATACCAGGCACAGGGGAAACTGTGGGGTTGTTAGACTAGAATTGATAAGGTCAGATTCTTCACTTGCTTTACACCTGTTAAAAACAGGAGTAACTCCACTTCAACAACGCAGCTCCCTTACCCTGGAACCAAGTCAAGTGATGGGGGAAATAGATCCTAAGTGCTCTTCTGCAGGGCACAGTCAGCACCAGACCCCACAGGAGCTCTTGCCTCCGGGCCCAGTGCTCAGGAGCAACTGAACAACCCTGAGCTCCCAGGCTGGAGCAGGAGGCAGGATGTTGGATTCATTGCTTATTCTCCCACTGAGTTGGTACCGACAGAAATAGCTTCCAGGGAATGAATGTCTGGATAAATTGAGTTCCTGTGTAATCTCAGGACACCCACAGATAGGTCATGACAATTTGCTATTTATTGTGAGGTCCATCCTGTGAAGCAGGAACCATTTACTGAATTTCCCCAGAATAAATCAATCACTATGCTCTAGTAACTGGATAAAATTAAGCAGAGGGAAATTAAGGCTGATCATCAGTAAAATTTCACTAATGGCAATCTCTATTAGACTGTGGAATTGTCTCTCCAGGGGAAGAGTGGAACCCCGTCATCAGAAACGTTTAGTGCTGGACAGGGCAAAGCCCTAGGGAGTAGATATAACAAGCAGTAATTCAGCACAGAAGAGATGGCATGGCTGACTAGCTGACTTCAGAAAGTTTACTATAGACTTGATTTTTTGATGCAATCAATACTTTTACAAACATACAAACTAAAACCCAGGTACACGCCAGGTTAAACACACTTGCTTGTATCTTGGCTGAAACACACAATAAAAATGGGACCAAAATCTCACATTCTGGACTGCTCCTTCATTTGGCCTATATCCTAAGGCCCACTTTGTGTTTCAAATATTAACAAATCTGAACCGATGCTGTTGTTGGAATGAATTCTAATTTACTGAGGCATAAGGGGGGAAAAAAGAGGTTTGTGAAATATCTAAGATGATTGAGGTATAACTGACTCTAAACATCAGCATTTTTTTCATCTATTAGTGATTAATCCTGAAGAGGAGAAAGTCCCTTTTCTGTAAGCAGGTCTTCCACTTGAAAAGAGATTAAACCTGAATTTCTGAGGCAAATTAGCATATACATAATTATATTGCTCAGGAAATGTTTCTGCAGTTACCTCCTCCCAACAAAGGAAACTGAACATCATTCTGCTTTTTGGCTGGTGTTGTGTCTTTTGTTCATTATACAATAGCAAGAACAAGAAGAAACGACAGGGACACAGCTGGACCCCAAATAACCAGGTTGCCTGTATGCAAACATGAAAGACTTAGCTATGTTGAACTGCTGCTCTGACTGTTCTCTGGCAGTGTCTAAAACGTAGTCCACAGTAAGCACACCTGGAGGGCTCAAAACTACTTAAAGGAATACAACCCTGAGCTTAGGTCATGGCTTCTGGAGACACTACACTGGTTTTAGCTTTAAAGAGCTTGCAGCTAGATTCAAAACCCTGAAGCAGTTCATGTCTTCTAAATGACACGGAAGAGTTCATTTCCCAGAGATCAGTATGTCCAGAACATGCTCCACCCAGGTCACACATGAGCTACCACAGAGGCCACAACAGTTGTATAAATGTTGCACTGGGGCTCTGTTAATTTGAAAAAGTATGATCTACTACTTCACCACAGACCTTGATGGGATATGACTGCCAGGAGATGTGGTGGTGCACCAAGTGGGTACTTGCAACAGCTCTTCATACAGCAGGAGCCTTGGGGACAGCATAATTGCTCTTCATTCAGATGACAACAGGAGAGCCCATTGTCTTGGAGTTTTTCCTCTGGCTTTAACCAGTCTTGTCTGGATGTTACTCACTCTCCTTCTGTTACTGCTGCAGCCACACTCAGAGCTTGACAAAGGCATCATGGTAATTAGAAGCTGCAGTTTTCAGCCTTGCACAGGGAAATACTATTCCTTAACCAAGAACATGTTGTAACATGAAAGGCTCTGTATAAACATGTTCAAAAATTCTCCAATTAAAAGAAACAAGCCAATATAGCTTGAGTGTTCGCTCTTTACAAAAGTGAAGAGGACTGACCTTGGACACTCAACAGTTGGGTGGCAAAAGAGACCCAGCATCTCCCAACATGCCCTCAGTCTGTTAGGAGGTACTGCGTTCACAGTCCTCCATTTGAAGGAGATTTACTTTATTTTCTTATTTAGAAGACTATTGCTTAAACCTGAGCAAGTCTTACCCCATGATAGAAGAAGCAAGAGATAAAAAGAATTGACTCACAGAAATCTAACCTGGAAACAAAGGCAGTTCCAAAGAAAAAAAGAAGCATCAGGTAAAAATGTACATCTATGTATATGAACTTCACCATACAAATATTGTAAGCATCCAAATAATCAATACAATTAGCATAAACTTTTGTCTTTCAGAGGAACTTGATGGTCTCCGGATCGATAACATTTAAAGTAAAAAAGACAGATATCAGACTATTAAAAAATACCATCCCAGAGAACTTGGTCCTCCTGTTAATAAATCAATACAAACTAAATTTTACAGCTTCTATAATCAGCAAGAGACATATCAGTGTATCTCATTAGGCGGGGGTTAAGAATTTGGCAGCAACCAAAGCCCATTTAATATCATTTACTTCAAGGCAGACATGGCAATACAACAGATGCCCTAATTTATTTGTTGATCTTTGTATTAAAATAACAGTTTGCTGGTAAACAGGAAGGGTAATGATGCCAGTCACCCTTGTTAGTGGCTAATAATTGCTTAATTTGTCCACTAATTGACCTGTGCTACTGTTGAAGCACTGGATCGTGTTGCAGGGCATGAAGTAAACAAGGCCACTGTAATGTTACTTTAGAGAATGACTTCTGGAAATAGAACTACTTATTGCTATAAATTTTCTCTTCACAGATGAGCAGATTAATTGGTCTGCCAATTAGTCTGCTATTAAAGAAAAAAAAGGCTGCCCACAGATTGGTTGGATCTTCGAACCACAGCTCAAGTTTGGGTCAAATGAAATAATCCAATCTGAATCAGTCACATCAGCTATGAAAAATAAGACAAGGATTCTTAAAAAACAAATCTCTACAGCTAGAGATCAAGGAAAATCGCCCAGTAGCTGAGTAATGGCTCTTCAAGCATCTTCAAAATAGAACAGATAACATGATGGAATAGGCCTACTCAAGCACATTACAGTGTGCGAAAGTTCTCCAATGAAAAGAAGAAACCAATATAGATTATTTTGGTATCTGAAAAGTAATTAAAATAATAATTATTAATATTTAAAAACAAACAAACAAACAAACATGTAATTGTAGATGCTGCCTGGAACCAGAACAGCTCTGAAATCAGCAGTCAGCCATGACATAAGAAGAGGCTCATCCATAGTCCACAAAAAATCAGCTGTAGTCTTTGCATTAACTTCAAGGAGCTTTTCATAGTTGTTGTGAGGGGACAGAAAGAAAGAACTGAGAACAAAGAAAAGGGAAAACAATGCTGACAACTTCAAGCCTTTAGATATGCAGTCATAATGACTCCCAACATTTTAACAGTGGATTTTTTTTTTTTTAAATCAGTCCTTGGCAAACACAGCTTCACTGAAACTGTGCTAAATCAGGACCAGACCTTCTCTACTTAGAGTTACTTCTCTGTCATTCTTTCTTGAGGCTAAACACATTTTCTAGATTTTTCCTTGCCTTCTGCAGCTCAGCACCTCTGCCTACTCCAACACCAGATCCCAGAAATGTCTCTGTCCTAAACCATCTCGTGGTGCTTCATTACCACTCTCTCCAACCATTTCCTGTCTTATAACGTGGCAAAGCAACCTTCTCTGCTTAGCAGAAAAAAAAATCAGCGGAAATCATGCATTTCCTCAATCAACTGCCTTAAACTCTGTTTAAACTTCCTGCCATCTCCAACATGACCTCTCCATATTTACTCCTTCCAAGGCAATCCCTGTATTACCTTGTTTCTCCCTCACCACATCCTTTCACTGTCTGACAATATGTTTAATAGTATAACTATATAATACATTTGCCCTGTTCTTATTACAGAAAATCTGATTACCACAGATACTAATGCAATATGGCAACTGCTAATGCAAACATATCCTGCCCTGTGTCTAGTATATGCCAAGAAAGAAGTGATTAATATCTTCAGACCCATTTCTTAACATTGAGTAGCTGCTCATGTCCTGCAGTCAGCTTACCATAGCCTGCAGGTTAAAGAACATTAACACAACAATTGTGCATGTTCACTGGAAAAGAGTTCTGGATGCTCATGCTTGTATAAAACTGTTTCTCTGTCCTTTAACAGGGCCTTTCAATAAATACAAAAGGCGTAGTTGCACATTTGTAGAAAATAAGAATGTGGGGTTTATCTTTTTGAGATTTTTTTTTTTTAATGCAATGATAAAAACATACCAG